GCGGCCATGGCTCGCAGGCCCAGCCGCCCCGCGGCATGTGGGATCTTCCCGGACCGGGGCACGAACTCGTGTCCCCTGACATCTGCAGTCGGACTCTCAACCACTGCGCCACCAGGGCAGCCCCACCTTGCTTTTCTTTTTTTTTTTTGTGGTCCGCGGGTCTCTCGCTGTTGTGGCCTCTCCCGTTGCGGAGCACAGGCTCCGGACGCGCAGGCTCAGCGGCCATGGCTCGCAGGCCCAGCCGCCCCGCGGCATGTGGGATCTTCCCGGACCGGGGCACGAACTCGTGTCCCCTGACATCTGCAGTCGGACTCTCAACCACTGCGCCACCAGGGCAGCCCCACCTTGCTTTTCTTTTTTTTTTTTGTGGTCCGCGGGTCTCTCGCTGTTGTGGCCTCTCCCGTTGCGGAGCACAGGCTCCGGACGCGCAGGCTCAGCGGCCATGGCTCGCAGGCCCAGCCGCCCCGCGGCATGTGGGATCTTCCCGGACCGGGGCACGAACTCGTGTCCCCTGACATCTGCAGTCGGACTCTCAACCACTGCGCCACCAGGGCAGCCCCACCTTGCTTTTCTTTTTTTTTTTTGTGGTCCGCGGGTCTCTCGCTGTTGTGGCCTCTCCCGTTGCGGAGCACAGGCTCCGGACGCGCAGGCTCAGCGGCCATGGCTCGCAGGCCCAGCCGCCCCGCGGCATGTGGGATCTTCCCGGACCGGGGCACGAACTCGTGTCCCCTGACATCTGCAGTCGGACTCTCAACCACTGCGCCACCAGGGCAGCCCCACCTTGCTTTTCTTTTTTTTTTTTGTGGTCCGCGGGTCTCTCGCTGTTGTGGCCTCTCCCGTTGCGGAGCACAGGCTCCGGACGCGCAGGCTCAGCGGCCATGGCTCGCAGGCCCAGCCGCCCCGCGGCATGTGGGATCTTCCCGGACCGGGGCACGAACTCGTGTCCCCTGACATCTGCAGTCGGACTCTCAACCACTGCGCCACCAGGGCAGCCCCACCTTGCTTTTCTTTTTTTTTTTTGTGGTCCGCGGGTCTCTCGCTGTTGTGGCCTCTCCCGTTGCGGAGCACAGGCTCCGGACGCGCAGGCTCAGCGGCCATGGCTCGCAGGCCCAGCCGCCCCGCGGCATGTGGGATCTTCCCGGACCGGGGCACGAACTCGTGTCCCCTGACATCTGCAGTCGGACTCTCAACCACTGCGCCACCAGGGCAGCCCCACCTTGCTTTTCTTTTTTTTTTTTTTTGTGGTCCGCGGGTCTCTCGCTGTTGTGGCCTCTCCCGTTGCGGAGCACAGGCTCCGGACGCGCAGGCTCAGCGGCCATGGCTCGCAGGCCCAGCCGCCCCGCGGCATGTGGGATCTTCCCGGACCGGGGCACGAACTCGTGTCCCCTGACATCTGCAGGCGGACTCTCAACCACTGCGCCACCAGGGAAGCCCCACCTTGCTTTTCTTTTCATGCCTTCATTATCTTCCCTATGCCTGCAATGCCTTTCTCCTCCTCATTTGGCAAATTTCTTTGCATCTTTGCAGGCCCAGGTAAAATATCACCTCCTCTGGGAAGTCTCCCTTGATTTGCCAAGGCAGAATTACTTACTTCCTCATCATTGTTCCACACATTTATACATACTTTTATTATAGCAAAAATATCACAATTTTTATCACATTAAATTGTGGTCATCGTTCTGTCTCCTTTGCAAAGTTGTGAGCTCCTTGAGGACTAGCACTATGTCCTATTCATTCCTGTATCCCCAGCACCTAAAACAGTGCCTGGTGTCAAGATCCTTAGAAAAAATTTTCTTTTAAGGTTGTTGAATGACTCCCAATGGGACCGCAAGGTTGGAAGGGGGCCTAGACTATCTTTTCTCCCAATTTGCTACTTAAAACTCAGCATTAGTACTAATACATGCTGCAACCTGGATGAAACTGGAAAACATGGTAGGGAGAGAAGTCAGTCAAAAAAGACTAGGTGTTATGTGATTCTATTTATATGAAATGTCCAGAATAGGCAAACTCATAGAGACAGAAAGTAGATTAGGGGCTGAGGGGGTTGGGGAGAAAATCGGAGTGATTACTAATAGGTATGGGGTTTCTTTTTTTTTAATTTTATTGAATTATAGTTGATTTACAATGTTGTGTTAGTTTCAGGTGTACAGCAAAGTGATTCAATTATACATATACATATATTCATTCTTTTTCCAATTCTTTTCTCATATAGGTTATCACAGAATGTTGTGTAGAGTTCCCTGTGCTATACAGTAGGTCCTTGTTGGTTATCTATCTTATATATAGTAGTGTGTGTATGTTAATCCCAAGCTCCTGATTTATCCCTCTTCCCCGGTATGGGGTTTCTTTTTGAGGTGGTGAAAATGTTCTAATTGATTGTGGTGATAGCTGCACAACTCTGTGAATATACTAAAAATCATTGAGTTGCACACTTTAAATGGGTGAATTGTATGGTATGTGATTTAGTATACCTCAGTAGTACTGTTATTTAAAGAACACCTCAGCAAACTCCTCTCACTGTGATTCAAAGGGCGGGCTCAAATGTCAGCAACTGGGGAGGAAGGTGGACAAACAGGGGTGAGGGTGGAGGGGTGTATTCAGGGGTGTTGTTGTTGTGCGGGGTTGGCTTGGGAAATGCAGAGCATGAGTGGAAATCAAGTTGAGTCCTGATAATAGAATGAGCCACAGACTATTTTAGAAGGAGGGGTTCTGGTGAAAACAAAAACCACTTCAATGAAATCAGGTTTCAACCAAAAAGGCTGAGGTTTGCTTGAGAAGGGTAAAGTTTTACTTTGAAACTGGTGGCTGAGTGTGATTTGCTCACTTGGCCTGGGAATCTTTTAAGAGGAAAGAATTATAATCTAGGCCAGGGTTGAAATTCTGATACACTTAGCCTCCCTGCACCCAGCATCCCTGAAGTACGGAGCTTGAAAAGAGGGCTGCTAACCTTCCCTCAGGTTGGGCCCTGCTGAGCGTGCTGGGCCTGTGCACTCTGGAGCCAGCACTCTGCTACTTACCAGCCACACTGCCTTGGGCAAGTCACCTAATCTCTCTGTATCTCCATTTTCTCTGCTGTTAAATGGGGCTATGGATGACACCTTCCCCATAGGATTGTTATAAGGATTAAACCAGATAATAGGTGAAGAACTTAGCACAATTTCCAGCACTTAGGGAGCACTAGAAAAAGGCAGTCCCTAAAGTGAGTGACAGGGTTGTATCTGGAGCCTTGAAACTGGTTGCTGGAGAAGTGGCTGATTCCTGCTAGCCCAGAGTGAGGTCTGTGACTGGGAAGAGGTAGCAGCTGGCTGGGGGTCGGTCAGGTGGCTGGGAAATGGTCTGAAGATTGTTAGTGCATTGCTCAACCCACCAGTAGGGCTCATACTTCCTGTTTTCAGTGTCTGTGAGCCCTGATGCTGGCACTGTTCATGTTGGAACAAGATCTTTCTTGGCCCCTGCAGGGTATGCAGAGGCTGAGCAGCAACTCAAGCTGGGCTGGGCTCCTTAGCTTCACATCTTGCCTTTTCTCTCCTAGCAGGTTTGATCTTCCACAAAATACACCTATGCAATCCTGGGGTAAAGAGGGGAAGGGGTTCCCATTCAATTCTATGAGAATTTACAGAGTTTTGTAATAGTAGCCACTGTTTTTGTGCCTTTACTAGGTGCCAGGATTATGGCTAAGAGATTTATGAACGCATGAATCCTTATAACAATCCTGGGAGGTAGATATCTCTTTTATACAGATGAGGAAACAGAGGCACAAAAGGTTAAGAGTTTTTCCCAAGTCATACAGCTAGTATTTTAGAGCCAGGAATCTAGTCCAGGCCACCTGACTCCAAAATCCATGCTCTGAACTACTGCATCATACTGAATGAAACATGCTAGATTATGGGGATTAAAAGCTGAATATTTTGGGTCCTTGCCCTCCAGGGGTCCATTGTCTAGGGATCCTCTGAACAGGAAGCCCAGGAGACCTTGTGCCCCCAAACCCCACTCAGAAATCTAACTGTTCATGCAGAGAACATATGCTGACCACGTCTTGAATTTATTGGGCCCTTCACATAATCTGGCCAATTGTCACCAATGTATCTCAATCAGGGCTGCATATCAGAAACACCTAGGGAATTTTTCTAAAATCACAAGCCCTGGCACCAGCCCTGACCTGAATCACAATCTCTGTGGGTGGAACATAAACATATACATATATACATATACATATATATATATATATATATATATATATATATATATATATTTTTTTTTTTAGTTCGCAGGTGACTTGGTTAAGAAACATGGCCAAAACTCACTAGCATAGCTTAGAAATTCCAAAATTTTGGCATCCAACTGTAACTCCTGAACTGCCTTCTACATCCAGTTCTTAAGAAACTGATGTTTGGTTCAAAATATATGTACACGCCCATTAGGATATCACCCAGCTTTAGATTCTGAGCTCCCTGATATGAGGGATAGCAAAGGCTGGTCATGAGCTTCATTAACACACACTGAGGAAACTCAGCACCAGCCCCATGCACAGATGATGGGAAATTATGTCTTCTCTTTCCTGAATGCCACAGACTCAAGCTGGGCTGGGTTTGGGATCAGCAATTTTCACTCATGCACATGTCCCCCTTGGTTGAAGTCAGCCCAAGGATTGTTGGGGTCAGAGTGAAGAGTATATGGTAGGATCACCGTGTAAAGTTGTACAAGATGTGCACTACACAAAGGCATCAGGCTGAGGAGGGAACTGGGAATTGACAAAGCCTGCACACCATTTACCAAGCTGTGGACTTCTGGCTTGGGGCACATTTTTGTACCTTATGTGCTACGGAGGGTCTGTTCTACAAGTCTCCTAGCCTCTCCTCCCAAAGCCCCATTAAGTCCAGATATAGCCCCACAGGAAACTCTGGGGTGCATTCCACCATTGTCATTTTCTACTTTTTATCATCCCAACTCCCTCCCATACAAGCACGAGGGAAGAGCCAAAATTTTCAGAAAAATCACATTTGATCAACCATACTTATTCAAAATTACAAAAATACATATAAATAAAAATACCAGAATATAATTATTAAATATTCAGTGTACAGGAATGGTCCTCACCTCACTCAGTGAGGATTGGATGAACTCGGCGGGAAGGTCAGAAGGGATAACTGGCCAAGAATGGACATCTATGTGAAAGTGAAACTGGAAATTTAGCGCTGGTCACAGTGTGTGCCCCAGAATGATACATTTATATGTATCATCACCTGGGAGACCCAAGAGGCCCCACAACCTCTCCAAACAGGGCATTCTGTGTGATGTCACAGTCCATACAATTTGGGGAAGTATCTAGACTTGCAGTCAGACACAGAACACCAGCTCTTACAATGACACAGTCTGTGCACAAGTGTGCCAACATACACATGCGTATATAACATTTCCTGATACATTCATGGAATGTCAGAGGCCTTCCCTCAAGTCATTTAGTGTCCCTACTCTCCAAACCACTGTTCCTGCATTGGCCAAGCTCTCTCAAGAGACCTCAGTTCTGTTACACTGCCTAATTGGGAAATTATTCATTTCCCAACAGTGGGCCTCATGAATGGCCCACTGCCAGGGAGCTGGCTCTCCTTCCACCTATGCACAGGAGATACCATTTTTAACTCCAGAAATTGTTACCATCAGGTATTGTCCAGAAAACGACAATACCATTCTGGTTCAGGACCACCCTTCCATCCTGGCCAGGAGAGATCTGGGCGTCCAGCACCCAGACGTGTATCTGAGGGTGAAGCTACTGTCACTCACCCTGATGGGCAGCACAAGCAAAACCACCTCTGCAGAGCTCATCTTCCTCAGTCTCTTCGTTATATATAGCTGTGCAGATGGCCCTACTGCAAAAATGACGGTCACTGTGGGAGTGGGTGGTACCCGTCTCTTCCCTTGGTTCTCTGGGGGCCCTCAGAGGGCTAGGCCATTCTCTCCCCCAATGTGAGTGTGGATCCAGGGCAGGAAGCTTGAGACCCTTGTGTAGACGCCTGGCTTTTCCTTCATGGCACATTCACGGCCCCAGCTCACAATCCCAGTCAGAGTCATGCGGCCTTGGGTGAAGCAGACCAGCGGCCCCCCTGAGTCTCCCTGTTAAGCCAAGGACACAAAAGGTGAGCCCTGGGAGAAGTGAGAAGGGGGCCATCTGATCCTACCACCCAATCATGCCCGAGAGAGAAGGGAGAGTTTCCTAGAGTCAAAGTCCTTGGTGACTCCCCATTTCCTACCACATCAAGTTTAAAAATCCCCTGCTTGGCTTTCAAAGTCCTGTTATCTACAGTTCCACCTACATTTTCAGACTCTACTTCTCCTTCCTATCCCAAAATATGCCATGCTCATTCTCATTTTTTTATCTTGCAACTGAAATGCTCTCTTTTCTTTCCTCTGCCTCCTCAAATTCCTATTGAGTCACATTCTCTCTGAAGTGCCCCCCTCAGTGATCATCTAGTTGGTTCTCACCTCCCTCTCCTAAACAGCTGATCATTTATAATTCACACCACACTCTGAGCACTGAATTGTGTTATTTTCTGTTGTTTTCTCTTTGTTAGGGTCTTAGTCCCCCTCCCTCCCTGAGTCTGAAGTGCCTAGCATAGAGCCAGGCTCTTGACAAATGTTTGGTAAATACATAAGGACTGGTTTAAACCTTCTAAGACCTGAACCCCTGGTCCTGGCTTCTTGGGATTTTGACTGGAGAGAGGCTCCCCAAAGCTGGTAGGGACAGGCCCAGGAGCCCAGGGAGATCTAGGGGTGATGGAGAAAGATGCTTGGAACTCTCACCTGGCAGGAATCTGTTTCCCACTGTGGGTCAGCCGCACACAGCATTTTGCTGGTGACTTCAGTGCCATAGTAGTGGGGCTGCTGACACTCCTCGTGGGAAACCAACTTCACAGCAGTCATTTTCAGCTGCTCTGGATAGATATAGTCAGCTAGATGGAGGAAACAGGGGGGAATGTACATTAAAATGTGTCTGTTGGGACTTTCTGCCAGGGAGGGGACCAAAAAGTGTCCCTACCAGGGAAAGCCCTTATTTTTTTCCACCCACATCTAAGTCTTTACCCCACCTATAGTCCCTCATCCCTCACCCATTTAACTTTATGGCTCATCATTCCCTAGACAATGCTCCCCACTCCATCCCTGGACCCATCGGCTGCCTCCACAATGCTCCCATCTCTACATCCACAGTCCTCTCTTGATCAAGCTGAGCTCACTTCCAGGTTACAACACTCCCTCAGGACCCTCTCAGCCAGACCCAAATGTCACTTACAGGGATTCTCTTTTCCAAAGCCAGTAATCTCACAGCTTGTGCCAAAACGGGCATCCCCATTCGCTGGGGGCAGGCAGATGACCTGTATGGACCGGGATGGCTGTGCACACTGGCCTGTGCTGGAACGGATCTTCAGCAAGGCTGGGGGAGCAGGAAGGGGTCAGAGGGGAAAGATCACCAGCTAGTCAGGTGGTCACTATCTCTCCCCTCCAAACCCTGAAGGAATGGCTGTCTATCCCTATGTCAGAGTCAGAGGTCATCCTGGGAGGTCTGCTGGTAGCTTGTCACCTGAAACAAGTCTCCCCTGTCCCATGCTTCAAGGGCTTTGTTCCAGCTGCTGACAAAGCCTTGGACAGCCAGGGCAACTGCATACAGCTGTATGAGTTTTTTTCCTGCAAAAAACAGCTCATAAAGCCCTGGCTGAGGTAGCTGGGCTGAAATCCCACCCAATAATCTCTCCAAGTTCTATATCCTGGGACAGACAGAGGCTCCATCCAACAATGGAAGGGGCATCCCAGCCCAAGCTGTATGCCATCAGGGCCATTGCCACCCAGAAGAGGATACCTGTTTGGAAATTCAGGGACTCTACAGAGGAGCACCAGGCCCCTCATGTTTTCTACTCTGAACCCTTCCCCACCACTCCTTGGTTGTGTAAAGCAGGGTCTTCAAGTTCCCCTACAACCCCAACTTCACACCTGGGTCTCTTCTCAGACCCCCATTCCCACAGCTATCATCATCATGGCAGATGAGGGTTTTCCACTCACCAATATCATTGTGGTGAGCAAGGGTGTCAGCACTGTAGTCGTCATGTAAGATGAGCTTTTGCACCTCAAACTGCATCTCGCCAGGCGTGATGGAGTTAAGCTTTGACCGACCCAGGTAGACAATGTAGTCCACCCTCTTTTGGTGATCACTGTGGGAGGGGAGATCAGTCAGTCTGATCTTGTGAGATCCTGTCACTTCCCCCTCCCCACCACAGCGACCTCAGAGCATCACTTGTCCCCAAGGCCATGGGCCATATAGAGAGAGGCCAAGGGGGCAGAAATAAGGGGAATCTTTTGCTGGGAAGGAGGAAGGAATTTGTTTGGGGTAGGGCAGGAGGGTCAGGGAGAAGAGACAGAGGGACATACATGAAGCAGTGTGTGGCGCTGACCACCCAGCAGGGACTGATGAGGCTGCCACCGCACACGTAGGTGACAGTGCCTGTACGGTGCCTCCTATAGATGGCTGCAAACCAAGGCTGGTTCTCGATGGTGGTGAATTCTCCCCCAACAATCTTAAAGCGGGGCCTCAGAGCCTTCTGGCCGCACTGTAACTTTTCTGGAGGAGAGAAGGCACTTTTTCCTGGAGGAGAAAGAAAGTGATATCTTGGGGAGGGAGGTAGGATAAAGTGTCCTTCTCCTGGTCCTCTGACCTCCCAGTTTTTCAGGGCCAGGCAGGCCTCCCTCCTGCAGGCCTCCTTCCTCCTCCCTCCTATGATGGAATAAGGGAAGAAATGAGTTTGTCCCCTTCCACCCACCATCATAAACAGGCCAGTGACACTCACCAGAAGAGCAGTTATGCACCATGCACTCCTGGACAATCTGCATTAGGCCAACCTGCACATAGCACCAGGGCCTCCTCTGATTGTCTGGGTTCCTGGCAACACAGAGGGGAGAAGGGTGCCATTCCAACCCAGAATGCCTTTTCTGTGTCCTCCCCTCCAGGGAAGACTCGACCAGAGGCCTTGATTTTCTCATGCTATGGCCAGCACTTGGCAAGCAGAAAAGATGGTAACGAGGGTTTCTGTGAGGCCATGAGGAGGGTCCTTGCTGCCCCCACCTCACCTGCAGTAATTGTGTTTCCCCAGTCCCAGCTGAAGGGCATCAGGTCTGTGGGCATGGTACGTTTTCAGAAGGATGGTGGCAGAGTTCCAGGCCAGGCAGGGCCGGCCGTTGGTGTCAGTGTTGGCCTTCCCTCGGTAAGAGTGACCATTCCCCTGATAGCAGGTTTTCGATGTATCTTTGGGAGGATGTGAGGATGAGAATATTAGAAAGAGAAGCAATTTCAAACAGGCATTTTAGAGATCCTGTCAGGCCTCACATGATTTCAGTGAGGCGGAAGATACTAGAAAGGGTCTCCTTCCATCCCCACCTCACATTTGTGCAGCCTCAGCTTCATGAGATAGTGTGTGTTCATGTTTGACTGTGAATCACATGAGGATAAAGATGCCCCCCCACTCTACCTCCTAACTCCTGCCTGCTCTTGCATCCCACCCATGTCTCCCTGCCCCCAAGTCTCTGGTGCCCCCTCCTCCCCAGTTGGAGTCAGGATCCCCATACCTATCTCACAGTGTTCCCCTTGGAATTTCTTTGGGCAGTTGCATCGTTGAATGTTGGAGAAATACTTGTAGGACACACATTTTCCTCCATTCAGACAGCCACACTTTGCTGGAGAGCACAAAGATTGGGGGGTAAGCAAGGAGCATAGGCGGAGGCAAAGGGGGAGCCAGCAGGGACAGGGAGGGGCTGCCTCCTGAGGCTTTTCCAAGATATCTGTGCAACCAGATATTGTGCAAGGGGTGGATACTCACATGCACCAGACACTTGATGAAGTTCATGGCTGCCCTGGAAGAGGTGCAGGCGGGGGGAGAGATTGAAAGGAAAAGTTCACCAAAGGACCCATGTTCCTGGGACCCCAGGGTGAGGATAAACTGGCCCCAATCCCCAAACTCAGCCTTCCCTCCAGCTCCCTCTCTCCTTACCCTGTTCATGTCTAACTATCCCTCAAATGGAAGAGCATCAGCTTCTAGCAGGGAGAAATGAATTGACTCAAGCAAGCTTCACAAATCAGATACCAGCAGGTTGGGGCAGTCCCTGCGGCTTCTTCCTCCCTTGCTGAAAAGTGCAAGCTCCCTTGGTTCTCAAGGCCCCAATGCCACACCTGTCCTATTTCCCGGAGAGGGTTTGGCCCTGCTGTTGATGGAATTCGGAGGACTCCAGCTTCCTATGCAGCCCCTTCCTTCCCCAGCGCTTTTCAGGGATCTTGCAAGCCCCCTCCTCCCGCCGCCAAGAGTCAAAAGCAGGGAAGCCACTCACCTCGGAGTCTCTCACGACCAGGGCGCAGAGGAGCAGGCATGCCAGCAGGACTCTCATGGTGGCGAGGCTGGGGCTCTAGACAGCGGCTCTACAAGGGAAGGAGAAGTCAGGGGAAGAAGCGGAGGAGCGCGCGAAGGCGGACCGGGTGGGTTACTGCAGTTCAGGGCTGGAGCCCCTAAGTCCCCTGCGGGAAGAGCCCGCGGTGACCAGGCTCCCCAGGCCCGGCCGTCTATCCTCTCTGGAGGCTCAGAGGTCGTGGCGCAGCCTGCACTGGTCCCCGCAGGGGAACACATGGGCATGGAGCGCGGTGACTCAGCGTGCAGCCGCAGCCGAGCCGGGGCAGCGAGTAAGGAGAAGTAAAGCCGGCACGAGCTGGATCGCCCGCATCCACCCTGCGCTCTTAGGGAGGTCCACACTCACCCGCAGCTATGGCCGGAGGGGCGCAGGGCCGGGATAGCGGGGACTAGTGGACACTCTGATGCTCGGGCGGGCTCTAGGGCTCCAGTCTCCGCGCTGTGCTGCTAGCGGGCAGTGCTGGCTCTATATTACGACTCGCCCTAGCCCTGGCCCCGCCCCAGCCCGGTATCGCCCCGTCCACTCCCTTCCCTCCCCTTCCCTGAGGACCCGCCGCGACTTGGACCCCGCAGGCTTCCACAACCTAAACTGTGAGGGGCAGTGCGGTCCCCACTGGAGGGGACGAACCAGGTCTGAACTGAGGTATGGAGAGACATCTAAATTCTCCGCCCCCTCCTCCCATTCACCTGGCCTGGGCCCCGCCCCCGTGCAGCACCCCCCATCCCCCCCGATTTGCCAAAAGGAGAGGCGCTAGGGAGACTCTCCCCTCCAGCTCTGATGCCTCTTCCCAGATCCCCTAAAGCTCTTCTCCACCCTCGGACCCCAACTGCCTAGGACACTGATTCGGACCCCTGGGCTTATAGGTATAGTCTGCAGCTTGTACAGCTGTGAAGTCTCTTTCTCAATGTGAAAATACACGTCGCTGAAACACACAAAAAAACGTGTTCACAGGGACTGCCTCCAAGTAGTATGCCAGCTCCCCGAAAATCAACACAACCAGTGGATAAGACAAAGCTTAGTTTATTGCTTACTGCGGTAAGGTAGTTTGGTAGTGGTAGGGGAGGGGGTCGGATTTTATTGAGAATTTGCAGTTTGGTATAAGGCAGGTCTTTGAAAGTGAGGGCCTGATAAGGATTGGATAAGAGTCGTGATATGATATTGTAGGATTGTGAGAACAAAGTCTTAGGGCACAAACTGTCGATGCTTTCTATTGAAGTGTTGATAGGTTTTTCAGGAAGTTCCTAAAATGAACTATTCGTTTATTTGCCTGGGCCATAGTATTGTCACTTAAGAAAGACAATGGAATAGTAAAGCCTTATTAACGTAGAAAGTTCACCTCTGAAGAGAGAAATTTGGGAACTGGAGGACAAGAATGAGGTTTAGTTTTCACTGTATAGCCTTTTACACTGTTTAAATTTTTGAAAACACATCCTTGTATCACCTGTTCCAAAAAGATAATTACAGATTTTTAAATGCACATGTATTTAGTATTCTACTTCATCATAGAGCCTTGTTTCTAATAAGATAAAATATTTGCTCATCAAATAGATTGGCTTCCAGAAAGACAGACCATGTGTAAAGGACTCCACCTATGCTTCCTGCTTGAGGGTGAGCACACACAGTTGTGTACACACGCACAAGTCCATGCACACACACATATCTCTCAGGCAGAGCTGAAGAACTACAGCAGGGACTCTGAAGTTCAGTCACCCCCATCCGTTTCCCCTAGTGTTGGGAACCAGGGTTTGGAGTCACTTGACTCCACCCTGCAGGACTGTCTCCCTCAATGGAAGGGGAGGAGGTTGAATCCCTGTAACTCACTAAGGGGCACAAGGCTTGTCCCTCTCCCTGCCTAGGCCTACAGAGTTTTGCTGTCTGGCAAACTTGGACCTTGGGTCTGGGTCCACTTGAGAGGGGCAGGAAGAGGGCAGAGAAAGTGCCAGGAGGGCAGGAAGAAGGAAAGCCTCTTTGCTCTACCCCAACCAGAGGTCTCAGGATGCCAGCCTCTGCCTGGGGAAAGTACAAGTTAACCATCCAGCTTAGAAGGCAGGTGACCCATTATCCTCCGGAGAGAGAGTTTTTCTGTGCCCAGCTCTGAGCTGCCAAGCCTCCCAGGGGATGGACTGAGTCAGAGGTGCTAGAGACTTCGGAACCAGCTAGGCTACTTCCTGTAGAAGACTGTGATATGTTTTGTTTGGAGTTAGAACACATTAATTATAAATAAACATGATCAAAATGTAAACAGAGTTGCAACCTGAGGACTAACCCAGAAACTCTTAGGTTAGTTATCAGGAAATTCCCCGCTGACTTGTGATTCACTGAGCTTCCCCGGCAGCTCTCATGACTCCATATTACTTGGCTGGAGGCTGTCATGCTGATTCTGAGAGCAGGATGACCTCATTTCCTCCCGGACAAAGAGACTTGGAGACCGTTATGCAGCATGACACCCCTCTTCCCCCTCCTTCCTCTTCTGGGCTCTTCACCTGGTTGAACAATCCTAGAGCTTCTGTGAAGACAGAATATCCTTTCTACTCTGTGATCTTTGGCGCTCTCTGAAATCTGTGTCCGTCTTTTGGTGCAGTCTGTGCTATCTTTCAATTCTTTTAGGGCAGAGACTACATCTTAAATATCTTTCTCTCCCTCAGCACCTGGTTCATGCCTTGTTCACCTAGGTGCTTTATTATGAATGAATCTGTGAACAAGTGAGAACAGAGCACTTTGGGGCTCCCTGGAAGTTTCCCTTCTCCTTGTCTTTTTTTTTTTTTCCTTGCCATAAAAAAATAGTACTGACATCATTTCTGTCTTTTGCTAAAAGGCGCCTTGATACAAACCATTCCTCTTTAAACTCACAACTGCCTTACATAGCTGGGAATAGTTATTTCCATTTCACAGATGAGGAAAATGAGGTGGAGAGAAGATACATAGTTGATGAGTGGCAAAGCCAGCGCTAGAACCCAGGTTTTCTGATCCTTGTTCCTGTGCTCTATACCTCACTGCCTCCAAAGAGAGGGATTCAGAACAGAAGGCTGTGAAGAGAAGGGCCAGATGCTGTAAGATGTTCCAGCTCAGGGGAGCCTTCTTGCTGGCTTTGGAGACCTCCTTCCAGAAACATGCCTAGGACTATGGGCTCTGAGCTCCTGGGAGACCCTGGCTATAATATGAGTTAGTTGCTTGCCTAAGTTCCAGAAACTAACTTGGCGGTCTAGGCTGTCTGAAGTTTCTATCAAGTGTGAGAGAATAAGGAACTGAATACATGGGGTTTCATTCTGTTCCTGAGTCTCAGAGTAAAACCACCAGCCTCCTGCCTCCACATCTCAGTGGTCCAGATCTCCCATGTTAGATGTGGTGACAGAAACTAATGCAGAGGCTCCATTTCCTGGAGCGGCTCATAAAAAAGCAGGCAGATGCCAGGTGTGCCAGGAGGACCAGTATGTCAAACTTGGCCCTGAGACTGGGTCCAGGAAACAGGACCACTGAAGGGCTATTTTCTGACCAGCAGGACCCAAAGGGAAGTTCATGTCGAGTCACAGTATGTTTTCCTGGGTTGCTATACCAAGAATGTTCAGTTTGGTACTGTGTGGAGAGTAGGGTCCAGCCACAGGTCAGCCACATCCAAGTCTAATGACCTCAGGCAAGATGCTTAATTCTCTTGGTCTTGGTTCCCCATCTACAAAAAGAGGCAACGCCTGCCCTGCCCCTGCCTCACTTTGCAGATTGAATGAGATCATATTTGTGTGTGAAATCATTCATTCATCCCTTTATTCACTCACCAAGGATTTATCATGGGCCTAACATGTGTCAGGTACAGGTCTAGATGCTAGAGACACAGGAATGAACTTTGTAAACTGTAATTCTTACCTTGAGTGCCTGCCTTGCTTTCCTGTCTATGACTGTCCTAGCCCAGAAGTCCAGGCCGTTCCTGGGAGTCCATCCCAGGATTCCAGTCAAGTGGGGATGCTGTGTCCTTAACCAACAGTTCCCAGCAACTGGCCAGCTGTGTGCACTGCTCACCCCCACATCCCTGACTCCCACTCTCTCCTCCTCTCCAGTTGTTCGTGGCCTGAAGCTCTTATTTCTCACCTACTCATGGGGGCCACAGACTTCTCTGCAGTCCTAGGAAGGAGGCAGTGAATGCTGGTCATATAGTTTCTTTGGGTCTGAGGACTCCTTCTCTCTGCATGTTTAATGCTGAGGGAAAGGATACTGTCTCACAGCAGGCACTGCAAGCCACATTTGGGGCCTGTAACATGATAGGGGAGGTGTTGGAGCTGCTAGGCCCCCAGCGGCCTGTGGCAAGAGTAGGGCGGGGGAAGCCGCATAATTGCTTCCTTACTCATGGAAAGCAAAGAGTACAGGGGCTGTACCCTGAGGTTATACTCTTTTCGTCAGTGAACAGAGGGGCCAAGTTGGACCCTCCAGCTTCAGCCTATAACCCCTACCCTTTCTCATTGTTTCCGCCTCATCATCTCTGGCCCAGTTCCTAGCCCCACCCAAGCCAGTGAGCTCAGACCTCTGCATCAGTAGAACCTTGGCCAGATTTTCCTTTGTCCCTAATCTAAACCTGGTTACTCCGTAAATCAGGAACTTACTACCTCAAAGAATGTTGGTCGTGGCTTTCCAGACCTTCTGGATTCTGAGGCCCCCACCAGAACCAAAGCTAGGCCCTGGTCCTAGAACTTCTGCTTAGAGCCCAGGCTACCATGCTGGATGGCAATGGCTGCTTAACCGGAAGCTAAAGGGGATACCCAGGAAAAAAGGGCTGGAATGGGAAACCAGAAACTGGTGGTTTTGCTAAAAACTGCCAAAAAGTCAATGATATTAAAGGAAATATGTTCAGCCAGGAGCTCGTATACTCAAATATATTGTTCAGAAGAAAACCAACGTAACATCCACAGCCCGTATGATGTATAATTTCATGGGCTCATGACTCTCCCAAACTGGGTTCTATATGCTTCTCTGCCTTTAACACAAGTGCAAGCACTTCCCTTTCCATTACACAGAGAGGAAAATAGAGGGCTGATGAAGGGAAGTGAATCATCTGAGTTCATTCACTGAAAATGATGAGATTGAGAATTCACTGATTTTGAGGAACCTGGTGACACATTTCCCCCCCTCCCACTCCTATTCTGAATCCTCTCTCCTCCTATCCTGACCACCCTCAATTCCCAGCCTCAGTCTCTTTGTCTTCCTACCCACCTGCAGAAGATGCTTCTTTTCTCCAAGCAGTGATTGATAACAGTGTGATGAGGCAGCCAAGTCCTGGGGAGAGGTCAGTCTCCTTTTAGAAGGTACTAGAGGATGAAATGTATGGAAGTCTATGAGGAGAGGGAGCAGGGGCATGGCAGGGAACCCCTTAAATAGGTGTGTATGCAGAGTGAAGAGAAGGAATAGTATGTGGATAATCTAACCAGGAGGCTCCTGTTTACTCTGAGAACAGAGATG